AAACTATCCTACTGCTGTTTTTTTATATGCAAAATGGGAATGGAAGTTGTGAGGGAGCACAAAGTAACAGCATGTTATCTCCTCTGCCCAGATGGTGACTGCATCATTGCACTTCTGGAGCATTCCATCTCCAGTATAATCCCAGAAGACAAAGCTTCTGCACATACCCACAGGGGCCCTTTTAGGTCTCATCTCTATCTGTTGCCAGTCCTTTAAAGCCTCTTTGGTCCTTTAAAGCCTCTTTGATCCCTAGGAGCATCTGTGAGGTCCACTGAAATCAGGCTAAGGAGAAGGAAGGACTGATGGTGAATTTAACTGCAAAGTGGCTGGCAATCATCATATTAAATTGCTTCTTTTCATTGCTAACAAGTGCTCCCAACTTCCAAATTACCAACAGTCACATGTTCTCTATTAAAAAAATGACCACCAAAAAATGATGTTAAGGCTTACCATTCTTAAGCAAATTCTTCAAGGCCAAGAGAATATTAAGTGAAAAAGGGTTGGAAGATAATCCTTCACACTGTAGCAATAATAATTCAAAGGATGGGTAAGCAAGGTCAGATTCCTCAGGGGAATATTTAACTTCTCCACTGCCTCACTCAGCACATGATCTGTGTAACGCAACAGAAGAGCAGCAGCAGGGCAGTGCAATTGCTATGCTGTGCTGTCATCACGACTCTATAGAGAAGCAAGATTCAGCAGCACAGCAGAGTCACACTGTGCTGGATAGCTACGGTAAGAACCACCTGCTTACAGATAACAGAACTCTGTCAGAATACCTTCCAACATGTTATGTGGTCAGAGAGCCAGAGGAAGGCCAGCACGGAGCCCTGCCCTGCAGTACTGTGGGGCAGGACAGCTCCCGGCAGCACACAGCCCTCAGCATGCATCATCTCCTCTCCATCCCCTCTAACACTGCTGCAGCAGAACAAGACAACACCAATGACTTTCTTACCTTTATTCTAATTAAGGAATCCTATCAGCATAAAGGCTTAAAAAGGAAACTTACCGATTTTTGTGTTTTTAAAGAAGTATCAGTAAAGTTTGAACAGATCCTACAAAAAGCAAACAATGGCAAGGGAAGAAAATTATGATGAGTTCAACCAATGAAAAGACAACAGCTGTAATTCCCTTTACTTCACATGTACTCTTTACTGTAGGAGAAGCCCTTGTAAACTCTGATTATAGAAAGCAAGAAACAAAACAACAAAACCCAGCTCTTAAGTAATACAGTAATTCCATCAAATATTGTTTCATTATGGTATCCCAGTACACACCTCCTCATTCTCATGAACCAGAGGTAGCCCACAGCCCATCCCCAGGCAGAAGCCACTGGCCTACACTAATTATGCTGGCAGAATGGAGTGCTATACATACAGCCACAATACCAAATGCTCCCATGCTAAGTTTAAGAATGGCTGTGGCACTGAGCTAGTACCTGAATTGCTGCAACACGGTGCTTCACGCAAGTTAATTTATGCTATGAAGTTGAGCTTTGTGTCACAGATTGCAGAGAAGTAACGTTCACTTCTCATCTGTTTTTTTCTCCTTAGCAGAAAGCTATTTTACAAAGATAAGAGCAATTACAACAGCAATTCTGGCTCAGCCTGTGGGCCCCTATAATCTACTGCTCTGCTTCCTGCAGTGGCTCTAAAGAGACTATTAGGGAAAGCAAAAGTGATATTTTGACAGGTCTCTGAAATCATTGGTTTAACATGAAGCAAAAGCCAGAAGAGCCACCACAATGTTGGCCATTTTTTGCAGCAAAAAGCATTTCATTATTTCTCTATGAATGCTCAGCATGCTCACAACTGGCATGGTGTGCCATTCTCATCTCTGCACCTCAGCTAGGACTGAGCTAGAGAAAGGGCCAGAGAAGGATAACTAACATGATTAGAGGGCTGAAGCAGTGGAATTGCAAGAAGCCAGCCCAGACTGCTGGAAGACTTCAAATTGGAGAGGAAAAGCCTGAGTGTCTCCAGAAATCACAAGTGCAGCAGAGGGTTTAATTGCAGAACAACACTGCACAATACTCCAATAAAATGACGTTGAATCAAACTAGGAGGAAAATCATTTAGAACTGTTCAGAGAAAAAGTGCTCCCCTAAATGGTGCTAGCGAACTCCTGGAGCTTGTTCTCATTAAAGGGTAGGTCATCAGTACTGTATTCATACAACAGCGTAGAGAAATTTGCTGTCAACAGCTCCATAAAACCATTCTAGAAGGGACCAAGCAGAGAGATACCCTCTAGCATCTGTAATTCAGAACTGCACACTGGGGAAGCACCAGGGAAACACCACAGGCAATAAGTCAGCCTTGCATCCTTTAGGGACTTCGCTAAGCTCTAAGTCACCAGGAGACAAAGTACTCTGCAAAATGGACACTCCTCATGTTCCCTAAATGCCCCCTATGCTCTCTCAGTCTCCATCAATTTTCATGGCTTTTTTTTTTTCTTTCCTTTTTTCTTTCTATCTAGTCACCATGCTTGGCATTCTTATTAAGACTCCTCCAGTTGTTCACATCCACAGTGCTCTCTAAGAATTTCACAGCTCTTCTGCAACTATTTGAAGAATCTTCGCTTTGGCTTAGCTTCTACCAACTTCATTTGCTAGGGCTCTATTTCCTGTTCTGGATGAGACAGTGACACTCCATCTCTATAAACCTCTGCGTGCCACTAATGATCGTGGCTGTTAAAAATTAGGCTAAAGCACCCATCGTAGTCCAACCATAGTTCTTCATGGGGGAGAGCTTCCATGAAGGCTGGGGTCATTGTTCCTGTTCTTCTGCGACCTTACTCAGCCCCACTGCATTCCTTGGGACAGCCCAGAACTTCACACAACACACCAGCTGGCAGTGAATGACAGCATTCCAGACCACCACCGTAATGGCTGGTCTATTATTTTCTTAATTATTCCAGGTGTCTGATTTTTCCTTTTTGCCATTTTACTGTTTTGTCAGGCTTTCAGCTGATATTTCAATACACAAATCACACGTCAAGAACACAAGCTGACCACTACTACTAATTCAATGAATGAGAATGGATAGTGATAGGACAAGAGGGAATGGTTTTAAACTGAGACAGGGGAGGTTTAGGTTAGATCTTAGGAGGAATTTTTTCACTCAGAGAGTGGTGAGGCACTGGAACAGGTTGCCCAAGGAGGTTGTGGATGCCCCATCCCTGCAGGCATTCAAGGCCAGGCTGGATGTGGCTCTGGGCAGCCTGGTCTGCTGGTTGGTGACCTGCACATAGCAGGGGGTTGGAACTGGATGAGCATTGTGCTCCTTTTCAACCCAGGCTGTTCTGTGAATATATTTCTACCCAGTACATACTTATCACTTTCCATTTCCTCCACCATTTTACATCTCAGTGAAGCTCAAATGCAATCAACTTCTTCACAATTCTTGATTCTGGTTTGGCTTCAGCTTTAAGTCGGCCTGTTTGATACTGTTGTGTATTTCTCATCTTACTGGTGGCCATCTAATTCTACCACCACTCAGCAACAATGCAACCCCACTATCAGCACATCTCTTTAAGTGAAGCCTCAGAAGCCCTCAATCCTCTTGGTTTCACCAACTCCTTTAATATCCTAGCTTCCAATTTTCAATTAGGAGATAAACTCTATTAATAAAGCATCAACAACTAGTTATGTACCTTATTAAACTTCCTTACTTGCTCCATTTTTCCTCCTTCTCCAAGGCCTTCTCCAAAGGCCTTCAGAGCTTACCAGGACCATCTCTAAAACAAACTTTGCTCCTGTTGCTGTGCATTTAGCATAACTGGAAGCCCTAGCCACATCCAAATCAGCAGTTGAAATGCAAGTCCACACAGTTCTTTCAACCACAGCAAATTTAAGGGTAACAATCTCTATTTCCTCCTTGCAGTAAAAAGCTTGTCAAGTCTGGTTCATAACCCTTCCATGGAAACATTATATAAAGCCTTGGCTTGACACTGATTTAATTGCTGTTGTTAAGTAATCTTATATTGTTGGGAAGATCATTCAAAGATGAAAACATATGATTAATCCACCTGGTCCACGCAGCTTATCTACCAGCAAGGACTCCAGAACACATCAAAAATACAAGAAATCCATTAGCAGAAATCACATAGGGAAATATTTGGATAGGCTATTTGAAAGCAAGGCAACATGCCTAATGTTCTGTAAGCCCATCAGTTTTATCTTCCATTGCACAGAATAGCAAACAAGGAAACTTGTACAGGCAACAGCAGGATAGGGAACAGACTGAAGTGAACTTGTAAGTCTTGTATAAACCACATCATAGAGAATGAGAGAGAAAACACGCGGTTAAAGCCTCATCAGGAAACTTCTCCAAGGAGAGGTTAGACAATATCAGGAGAATTTTATGTTGTTTTTGTTTTTTTAAGGGAAGGTCATGATGTATAAATCCAAGACAGATTTGGGGGGGAATAATGGTAGCAGTAGTAAGGTACCATTGTAACACAGAAAGTGCAAGTATAAAAGCTTCTCTGCCTGGATATAGAACAGAAACATGTTAATTAAACTGCCTAGAAGACAATAGATATCCTCGTAGCTGAAGAAAGCAGTACTAACAAGTTAGCAATTACCATTATTTTCATGGTCTCATTGTTTCACATCTTCTCTACACCAAATTTCAAGTAAGAAAAGGCCAAGTTGTACAAATCACCGAAGTCTTCAGAACTCCAGCCTTTGCTCAGCACACCATTTTCCTGGCATTCAGTTAGCTGGCAGACCATTCAAAATATACGTTCTTAGACTAAATATTTCAAGTAACATACCAACACATCCAGTCTATTTCACTCAGCTTTTCTCAATATTTTAGTACTTATTACAGTGCATGTTTTGCAAGTAGTGTTTGTTTCTATATTTAACCTTACAGATGTTTTTCATTTTTATTTCTAATGTAGTTTAGTTCTAATGTATCTTGTTAGCTCATGTTACAAACCATCTATCAATTAAAGGCCAAAATCATATGTGCTGATTAAAAAAAACATAGCCTTACCTCCATTGCTAATGCTGCTGTCTGCTGGTCATAGTGATTCAGAAGGTTAGGCATGAAGGTGGTGTTGTAAGGCAGATCCTGGCACATCCGCAGGATGATGGGCTCACAAGAAAATAAACTGTGCCCTCTTGTGCAGCCCACCAAGACATCCAAAAGCCAAAAGCAGCAGAACATCCAGCTAACAGCCATCCTTCCACGTCGTGAATGGGGCCAGTCCCTGAGCCCAGCCAGAAAGCTCTTCCAACTCTTCTCCTGCCTTCTGATTTTGCTTCAACAGCAGTTATTTGCAGTCCTGGTTTAGGTTCTTCAAAACTGACAAACTCTCAGTGCACAACATTGTTAGCTCAGTCCTGAAGATGATGCATTTGAGACAGACGTATGAGGCATTTTGCTTTACCACCGTGCATTAGGTTAAGGTATTCAGATGTTTAACCACATTCCCACACAATTGACTCCATCCTGATAGAACAGCAGCCAGGTTACATTCTTCCTCTGTCAGGTAGCTTAAGACAAAAAGAAAACACAACAAATAGAATACATTTAAAAAGCTCTTTCGTTGATTACAGTTTTAGTTTCAAAAACACCATCAGAAAAATTGCTTAAAAATTCTTGTGTGCAAGACTAAAAATGGCCAGGGGACCCTCTGACCTTCTGGTGGGAAAAAAAAAGGAGGTATGCTGCAAAACTCCACTTGAAAATGATGGTGGAAAGGCAGAAATCTATTTACTAGGAATAAAATATTTTTAGAGAAACCCTGCACTTTAACTTACAACCATGTAAGACTACAACCACTGACCACACTGAAACCAAGCTTCTCATGACTCAAGCTCCACCAGCACGTTCTCAGTGATAGCATCTTTACTTGCACGGCCACATAGCTTCTGCTGAATAACAAAACAAAAACAAAACAGTCACTGCCACCAATACACAAGTCTCAACCTGTACTGAGGACTTCTGCTCTGCCCTACAAGCTGCACTCATGGCTTGGCTAGCTGTGCTCACACCTGTAGTTTTAGCCCAGCTGTTGCCAATTTCCATAATCTCTAACCCATCTGAGACACACATTTCATATCTTGCACTCCAGAAACCATCATAACAGGCACATATCAGCCAGAAGACAGCGTTTTTTGCCCATCCCTTTCTCCACATACTGCAAAAGATGGAAAACGCACAGGTAGCTAAATAGTGCTGTTCTGCCAGCTCCACTCTGCCTATAGAGCCAAATCAAACAGCAGTCATTCCCAGGGCTGGGTCCACATCTTCTCAGAGCACTGAGGGGATTCAGCATATTGCATCCATCTGCTGCAGGAAGACTCTGGAACTAGAGGCTAAAGTTTGGGAAAAGCTGACAGAGCCATGAGTCTTTTTTCTTAGAGCAATTTTGTTTTACAGCAATGGATTTGTAATATCCAGTCTCTAGCCAAGTGCTTTTAAAAGAATTATGGTTTGCAATGAAAGGTAATAGAAATCTAGAAATATTGCTTGAACCAGGAAACCCAAAGTGCTCCATCAGCGTTCCCAGGTGGAGGCATCACAAATCAGAGCAGGATCATTAATCTCAAGATTGAAAGCTTTTTCTCAGATGTTTGGGACGAGCCCTAAATTCTTCAAGTCCAAAAGGGAAAAAGGTTTTCCTTTCCCTCCAATGAAAACTTAGTGAGAGATCTGAAAGAGTTCACTGTCAGCCTTCTGCTAGTATCAGCTGGCCAAAAAAAGTTACAGAGAAGTATATATGTTTACATGGGCCCATCTTATGGTCAGAAAAATTAAACAACTTATTCCTCTAAACCCTCATAAACCTTGAGGGTTGGGCTAGATAATCTTGAGAGGCTCCTTCCAACCTCAACTATTCCACACTTCTCTTTAAGATCATGTGAGGCAATGGCTTTGGCTGCAGCTGTTCAAGACATGCTGGAAAAACAAACAGGCAAATAGTAAAAAGACCAAAGTGTTAAACACAACCACATTACATTCAGTTCATTGACAACTTTCTCCCACAGGCTGCCTACTCTTTCACAGCTACTGACAGGAAATCCATGATTGAAGCCACACTTTAGAACATAAAGAAAAGCACACAAAGAGTAAAAGTGTTCCAAACTACAGAAGAGGTAACATGACCAAAAAAAAAAAAAAAAGCTGGAAAATGAACCACCTGAACCCTAAGATAAGCAGTAGAATCAGCCAACACAGCTCAGACGACAGTCTTTTCTTTCATACTGAAGCAAGCAAGCACTGATGAGAAGAGCAGTCAACACATTGAATTTAAAAGACCAAAATTCACCACAACATTTAAGATGTGCTGCATCTAACCACACCTCATTTCCACCCAACTCCAAGCTCAAATGGCCATGAAAAGCTTTGTCCCCCTCACCTTCAAGAAATTTATTTTTCAAAGACTTCAGGCACCAACTCAAGAAGACTCCATCTAACAACTTCAGAGTGAACTCAAGGTAAGGATTGGCTATTGCCTTTCTAGTGGGGATCCTATAATTCGGATGCCATTCCAGCAGCAACCAGAAGACAACGCTTCCTAAGAGAGGTTCTGATGCTATATACTCACACCAACCACCCTACAGTACCATAAAGAAAAGGTTTGCTAGAGCCAGAAAAGAAGATCAGGCTACAGAGACTGGTCAGCTCATGCCCCTTCACGGAAAAGAAATAAGTGAAATTAAGAAAAAAGACAACCGTGCTATTGCAACAGGAGGTGAAAATTTCACAGACAAGCATATAGATGACCTATTAATTGGTGCAGACAGATGAATGCCATAACAAGCAATCTTCAGCGTCAAGATAATTCCTTACCACAGATCCAGTTCTGTACGTTCTTTGTTAAGCCTCTGCATATGGAATCCTGTGGTTATTTTTTATATGTACATAAAAACAAAACAAAACACCTTTGGTGACACCGGGATTAAAGAGGAGGGGGGTAGGTAGGCAGGCATCCCCTAAGGGACTGCAAAAGAAACCGTGGGCAAAAGGGGAAGGAAATAGCCTGTTTGTTGGTGTGGTTGCACATTTATACATTATTTATAATCATGCAAACCCATCTAATTCCTGCTGTAAAAGATACATTAAGACATGCAGAGTAGATAATGATAGAGAGTCATGATGTGAAAGGATTGAATACCAAATTCATTTGTTTCTCCCCAAAAATTAATTTCAAAGTTAATAAAGAGGGCAGTAAGGGGAAGTAATGAGGGGAAAAAAAAAAAAAAAAGAAACCAGCAGATTTTAAAAGGACACTCTATAGGTGAACACATCAATGGTTAAATCTGCTGGAGATGTGAGACCATACAGCAAACTAGATTTGCCCTGCACAACTGGGAGGACGAGGAGAAAATGTCACCCTAGCCATTCCCCAGCCAGTTCTGACCACGAAGACAGAAAAGCAACCTGCACATTGCATACAAGCACTGGCAGAGTTTCCCCAACCCATTCCCACCCACATGAAGGCACAAAAGCAGCATACATTATTCTCGTCACTCCATTTTAATTAGTCAGCGGGAAGGAAACTCCAGCACTGAATTCCCCTGTTCCATTTGGGTGAGGGATTAAGGGAGAACCACAGCATAACTCCCACATCCTCCACGCCAATGAGGCGGCCATAGGGAAAGAAGGGCACACACGCTGACACCCCTCCCCATGGTTTCTTTGCACTGAGGCCAGATCCCCACAATCCACTCCCAGAAGAAATCCTTTCTGCCCTCAACCATGGGGTTCGAACATTCATTAAATCATTCAAGTTAGAAAAGACCTCTAAGGTCATCCAATCCAAACTCAGCCCACCCCACCATGCCCACATCCCTCAGAGCCACATCTCTGCAATTCTGGAACACATCCAGGTTGGGTGACCCCACCACCTCCCTGGGCAGCTGTGCCACTGCAGCAACACTCTCTCTGAGGAGAAATTTTTCCTCGTGTCCACCTTGAACCTCCCCTGGCACAACCAGAGGCCATCACCTTTCATCCTATTGATGATTACCTGGGAACAGAGGCCAACTCCCACACAGTTTTGAGTAGACCTGTGGGGAGCCAAGACCTGATGATCCTCAGGGTTCCCTTCCATTTGTGGCTATTACACTCACATAGAAAATGGTTTCAAACTTAAAGAGGGGAGATTTAGATGGGATGTAGGGAAGATGTTTTTCACAACAAGGACGTTGAAGCACTGGAACAAGCTGCACAGAGGCACTGGTGCCCCATCCTTGGAGATACTCAAGGTCAGGCTGGCCGGGCTGTGAGCACTGATGGAGCTGTGGGTGTCCCCGCTCAGCACACGGAATGGGACCAGATGGCCTTGAAGGGTCCCTTCCAACTCAAGCCATCCTATGCTTCTATCCTTCTGGTGCCTCCCAGCCTGGGCTCATCTCTGCTCGGGGATCCCGAGGAACAGCTCCAGCACCTCCCTCCGCAGGAGCTCACGCCGAGCGAGCAGCCATCCCCGACGCAGCGCTGAGGGAACGAGGAGCCGCCACCGCCCGCCACGAAGAGAGGAGAAGGCGGGCAGGTGGGAGCAGCACCTCCCGCCCCCCCGGGGGATGCGCAGCCCCTCAGCTCGTTCCTCCGCCCGAAGAACGCCTCATGGCCGCCCCCCCCTACCGGGCGTCCCCGCTCTTTGCGAGCTCCGTAGTGGCAGAAAGCGCGACATCCCTGAGGGAAAACCCCGACCGCTCCGCCCGGTCCCGAACCCCGCCGTTACCTCAGCGCGGGGTCCCGCCGCGGCAGCTCCGCTCCTTCCCTCAGGTGGCGGCGGGAGGCAACGGCCGCGCCTCCGTCCCGCCCGACCCCGCCGCAGCGCCCGGCCCCGCCCCGCGCCTCCGCCCCGCCCACTCTCCCACTCAGCCTCACCCCGCCGGAGCTCGCGAACCAATCAGAGCGAGCCGGGCAGGTTGCTAGGTAAAGACACCCCCCCCAGCCCGTTGGCGGGATGTGATTGGCTGGCGGCCTCCCGGGCGGCGGTTGCCATAGCGACGGGAAGCGGCCTAGCGGGAGGAGCAGGCGGTGCCGCCCGCGGGAGGGGAGGAGGCAAGTGGGGGGCGGCCCTGGGCCGGGAGGGGACGAGGGGAGGAAGGATCCTACCGGACAGCGGGCGGGGGAGAGCGGGAGGGCATGGGGAGCGGGTATGGAGGCAGTAGTGCATAAATGAAGTGGGTATGAGGGGATACATTCCGTGGGATGTGGTGGTGCTTGTAGGAGGGAGATAGCGAGGCTTGAAGAGCAGAGCTCTGCCCATCTGCCTGCACTGCCAGGCCTGCTGTGGGGTTGCGTTGCTTTTGGGTGGAAGAAGTGCTCAGAAATTGTTACGTGCAAAGGGGTGTGGATGAAGAATTGATTGGATGGTCATACGCAGAGGGTTGTTGTCAATGGCTCTGTGTGCAGGGGGAGGCCGGTCACAAATGATGTTCCCCAGAGGTCCATGGTGGGAGCAGTGCTCTTCAACACCTTTAGCAGTGACATGGGCAGTGCAAATTCACTGCTGACACCTGGCAAAGTGGTGCAGTAACACAGTAGAAAGGAACGATGCCATCCTGAGGGAGCTGGGCAAGCTCAAAAGGTGGGCCCATGAGAAGCTGATGGGGTTTAACAAGGCCACGTGCAGGGTATTGTACTTGGGTCAAGGAAGTCCCTGCTGGGAGCACAGCCTTGCCAGAAAGGACTTCCTGGTAGTGGTGGATGGCAGCTGGATATGAGCCAGCACTGTGCCCTCACAGCCCAGAAAGCCAGCTGTATCCTGGGCTGCATCCAAAGCAGTGTGGCCAGCAGGGTCAGGGAGGTGTTCCTGCCCCTCTGCTCTGCTGTGAGGCCTCACCTGGAGCACTGCATCCGGATGTGCAGTCCTCAGTACAGGAGAGATATGGAGCTGTTGGAGTGCATCCCAAAGAGAGCCACAGAAATGATCCCAGGGATGGAACAGCTCTCCTGTGAGGACAGGCTGAGAGAGCTGGGGCTGTGCAGCCTGGAGAAGAGAAGGTGCTGGAGCGACCTGAAAGTGGCCTTTTAATTTCTAGAGGGGGGCTGCAAGAAGGGGACTGGCTCTTTAGCAGGGTCTGTTGTGATAGGGCAAGTAGAAATGGTTTCAAACTAAAAGAAGGGAGATTTAGATTGAATGTAAGAATCTTAAAGTTTTTTACAATAAGGGTGGTGAGGCACAGGCACAGGTTGCCCAGACTTATGATGGATGCCCCGTCCCTGGAGACACCCAGGTCAGGGTGGACAAGACTCTGAGTGTCTGATGAGCTGTAGGTGTCCCAGTTTATTGCAAAGGATTTGAACTAGATGGCCATTAAGGGTCCCTTCCAACTGAAATGACTATGTCATTCTTTGACCTTTGTGATGTAGACAAAGAGAAAAGCAGTCAGGTACTCCAGCAGTGCAGGGAGATCGCTGGGCTCATTGGAAGACTGGAGACCAGGAAAGGTACCAGTCCTTTGGTCTGAATGGGGAAAAGAGGAGTGGGGATGGATGTTAAAGCAATGTAGCAAGCTTGCTGGCAATGGCATGGAGGAGCACAAGGGGGTTGGGGTCTGCGGGTCGGTGGAGGTGCTTCTGGTATGGGATATGGAGGTACTGATGGCTCAGTGGGCATTATGGAGCATGGAGAAATGCAACTACTAACTGCCTGGGAATTGCAGGTTACTCAAGCCTTGGTTTTTGGATATTTCTAGTACACTCTGGCAGGGGTAAGGGTGTTAGTCTTAAGCAGCACAGGCTGCATAGAGGTGTTGAGCTGGGGAGGAGCAGAAATGTCAGTGGCAGAAGGTGCTGCAGATGTCTAGGTTTATCAGTACTGTGGCAGTGCCATGCTCTGGGTTTATTGATCCCAAACCATTGGCACCAAAGTGACCCTGGAAGCTAGGGCTGGTCGAGGAGAACGGTGTTGGCCTCTTCATTGTAAATCATTTGTAAATCATTGCAAATAAGCAGTTAGCCTGCTGCCCTTCTCCTCTTGCCATCCTTCTCTGTGTTCCCCTCATATAAGTACCCGTTTCTCTTTACCTCTTCCCTCCAGACCTATCCTCTTGAATTGTTTTCTGTGCTGAAAGCCCTATGATTTGGCCTGTATTCCAGCTCACTTTTCTGTTACTGCCTTTTAGACTGTCCATGGCATTAATCAGTGCATTGTTTATTGGTGATAAACTAATTTACATTAAAAATGACTTACTTGTTTGAGCTCTAGATTCATGCATAAATCTGTTTATTCAAAGCAAAATACAACTGCACCATTGTCATCACATCAATTAATGTGATTAGATTCTTTCTCTGGAAAAGACATTCTTAAACCTCTGAGTACAGCAGGCTGTATTGATCCACAAGGGCTTATTGCTATAGAGGTGTGGTCCAAAACATTAATAAAATGGGTCTGCTTCTGAAGGATTTGTTTTGAGTATGGTTTGTACAAACCTCTGGAATGCCATTCTATAGGGTTAATCCAGCTACAGGGAATGATTCCAATGCCATTAGTTAATATGATACGATCATTATGTATGGCTAATCTTTCCTGAATACAATCGTACTTTTTTAAATTGAGGGCTTGACCAAACTTGTAGTGAAATCAGTGAAAGCATTTCTGTTGGCTTCAGCAGGACTTTGATCAGTTGTTAAACTATTTTGCTGTATTAGACAATGCCACTTAGGTTTTCTTCCCTATGAAACTCATATATGCCACTTCCAGACATAACAAAAAGCACAAACCTTTTGGATGCCCTCTCAATTTATCATGTCTTGTCAATTTATCAGTTTATTCAAACTTGTATTTTAACCATTCCTAGGTACTCTCTAGCTGAGTAACCCATGCAGAAGTATCATCAAAACCTTGTTTTCTTTGCGTGCTTGTGAGGACAGCAAGTAAAGCTATCATAGAGTAACAGTGTCTTTTGAGTTTGAAGGGACCCTTAAGTGCTGGCTCATGTCCAGCTGCCCTCCACCAGTACCCATAAGTCCTTTTCAGCAGGGCTGCACTCAGTTCTTGTCAAAAGCTTTGAAGAAACTAAGACATATCATTAATTTCAGTGCTCTCAGGGCTTGTGGTCCCGCTGTAGAAGATCAGATTGATTTACACTGTTTCTTCTTGACAGATAAAGGTTGAATCTTGGACCCTCCTTATCACCCAGAGGTGTAGTTAAACTGTTTGCTTCAGAAGTTTTTTACAGGAGCTGGAGATAAGGTGTTCAGTGCACAGTTCTCCTGCTGCTCCTCTCCGTTTTTAACATCTGTGCTCTGCCAGGCTTACCTGCTTTCTGCAAATTGTGCAACACCATTACTTTGCAACAGCTGGAGATCCCTGAGCATCGTGCTGTGAAGTTAGTCAGACAAAGCCAACATGTAAACATCGTGTATAGCCACACAACTTCATCCTTTGCCAGGCTTTTGCCTTCAAATCTCATTTGCACTGGTACTTACACCTGCCACCCACTCCTCACTTTCCTTTTTAGTTTTTGTGTTAGGATATCCTATATTTTTAGCATCACGGGTCAATAGCTGCCCCTCATTGGGTAATGGACGTTTTCCATGCATATATCTAAAGCTTGATTTCTTCTTAACATCATCTCATGTCTGTTGCTGGTTGGCCATTTCCAAATCAGCTGATCATGATTAATTTCATCTCAGGATACATGAAGAACAAGCTAGAGCAATCTCAGGAATGTTATTTTGGACAACCTGTCCAAAGATAACAAGTATTACAGAAGAAACATGGAGCCTGAGCTAAACAGCTTGACAAGCACGGGTCTGCACAGTGCACCAGCTGCTGTGCTGAGCTCAGTGAGCCACTGCTGCAGCCACCTCAGCATCATGTCACAGATTAACTCTGCTCAGAGTTACTCCATGCTGCTGGAGAAGCAGGATTTGCTGTTAATCCTGCTAGGGCTGGGGGGGTTTAGGATGAAGACAAGAGCTACTGGTTTTCCTCTGGAGAACAGACAGAAGGAGAGAGGGATAGCATGCTAGCATGCTGTGCACTAATAGGTTAGCCATTTGGCTACGCTCATCTTTTTGCCTGATGGTACCTGCTTTTGCAGGCCTGTTCACACATTGAGCTCGAATACCAACTGCAATTCAAACAAACAGCTTTATGGCATATGCAGCAGGGGATGTGACTTCAGCCAGTTGTGTTGGGAGCTACATTTTTGGTACATCAGCAGCACAAGAGGGTCCAGAGGCACTGCTGTTTCTCTGGGCTATGGGGCTGCTTATGTGCCAGCTCAGTGAGATGTTGGCTGAATTGCAGCTGTTCCAACACCAAGAAAGCACTGCCTGCATTGGGGAGGCAAACTGGAACACGAATCCTGGCCTGGGAGTGTGCTGCAGTGACAACTGATGGTTTTGTGACTAATGTAGAAGGTTGTCCCTGAAAAACAGGACACGGTTGCCAGAACCTGTTTTTTTGGCAGAGCAGCTATTTCTCTAGCTCGTAATGTTGTATTTCTGTGTGTTGAAAAGGGCAGGGGCTCTGTAGAAAAACAAAACAACAACACAGAAAGTGATTGTAATGCATATCCATAATGCAACTAGTGAGTTGCACAAGAAGCTTCTAATGTTTGCCAACTACAGAATGTGAGGATTTGAAGCCTTTGTAAGTCTTTTTGCTTTTAACAGCTTTTCTGTCAGAAGTTAAAATTCCTGGGCATATCATAAGTTATTTCAGCATCTCTACCAAAAGAAAGAAAGAACTCAGACTCTTGGTAGGAACTTATTTTCTTACTGTGGACAATATTACATCACCAGAGGCAGATAGATATAAAAGATTTTTCACTTTTTCTTTCGCTTTTGATTCCTAAAGAATTTAGGGGAAAAAAAAAAAAAGAAAAAAAGAGGAAAAATCCAAAAAGGTGAAGTGCCCAGTCAGCTCCTGCAGTGGGTTTTTGAAGATTAATCTCCCATTAATATAGATGGGAACTTTGTCTGGGTAAGGAAAGGAGGACTGGGCTTTCAGGGAGATGTATTATGTGAGCCTTAGAGCTGTATTAGCTATAAAGGTGTTTGTTGTATGGAGTTGGAGGTGCTTGGATACACAGGAGGCTGGAAACACAACGTTGGAGTCACTCAGTGCTGAGTTTCCTTTTCTTGCATTCCTGAAGTCCATCTTGCCACCGTGAACCTTTTAAGCAGTCTGAAGTGCTTGCACAATGATTACCTGATAACTGTATGAAAGAAATTGAGATTTTTTTTTTAAAATGTTAGTTAGAAAGAAATGACTTGGTTTTCAGGCAGCTCCAGTCTGGAAATTGGATCTCTGAGGTGAGCAATGACATTATCCTGCTGAATCCATCTGTGGTGTAGAGGATGAAGGAAAAAAGAAAGCTTTTCCTGGTTTTGGGCAAAAGTCTATGAAGAAATGGATTTTCTGACCAAAGTCCAGTTATTGGATTTCACAAAAGGGAAGGGAAAATTGTGTGAAATGCCCTATTTACTTCAGGTAGGAATTTTTGTTTCAAAGAGCAGCACAGTCAATATAAACCATCAAAACCAATCTGCCTGAAGACAGGATGCTGAGAAATTTCAGTTGATTCTGAATCATTCTGGATTTCATTCTTTCAGTTAAGTGTGATGGAAACAAATTGGCCCTTTGAAGCCTGGCGTTATATGCCCATCAGAATCAGCAAAAATCTATCTGATGTCACTTAAGTAGGTGCACAGGCAATCTCCAGTTTTCAGTGCCAGCAAATGGGAAGAAATTTCGTGTGCTTTCTAGCTCACTGCAAATAGCCTCTTGTGATTACTTATGCAGCAAAAAGCAAAGGCACGTTCAATAACATTTGTGATGGGAAAGACTTGCTTAATTATTAATTATTGATATCATGTTAGCACACAGACGTTTCCATCAGGAAATCTGGGCTTTGCTGTCAAGTTACTATGAGTGCCCAAAATAAAAAGAAGGCCTTACCCTAACTGACCTTCAGATAGTTTCACTTGCATCACTGCTATGCTTTGAAGTCACTGAATTGCAATCTGCAGTGATTTGCTTTTCACTAACATGCAGTAATGGAGTGGCACAAGGATAATGCTGGTCTTTGTTCTGTTCAATTGTTGTAGGGGTTGGTGCTTACAAGACATTGGTAGATTCACCATCTCACCTATCGATGGCATTTGCAACTTCTAAAAACATGAATAGCCCCAAGCTACAAATCAAGATGAGCACGTGGACACCACTGAACAACCCACTCATGAATGAGCAGGTAAATTCTGTGCAAATGGGTCAAATTTGTGGAATCACAGAACTGGTGAGTTTTGGAAAGGGCTTCTGGTGATAATTGAGTCCAACTCTTCAAGACAAAGTCAGCTGGAGGATTTGCTCATGATCTTGTCCAGTTGGGTTTTGAATATTCACAAGCCTTAAAGCAAATTCTGTTTCATTTCACCAACTCTCAAGTCTCAGAAAAAATTAACCTGTCCTTTTGGCTGTGTAAGTCATGAATAATGGAATCAGAACTTCAATAATTTGTTTAATATTAGGAATAAATGTATATATATGAAATACATAGTCTTTATGATATATACACATGTATAAAACCTACTATGTTCTGTAAAATCTGAAAGTTCTAATATTCAAAGCATATAAGCATTTAGTTGAAGTATTTTTATTTTTACAAGTAAACCATTTTTAAACAAAAAAATATGTATTCATTTCTTAGTGAAAGCCATTCTTTTCCTGCCTTAGAAGACTTAGCCCCAGAGCAAACCCAGTGCCAGTGTTTCTGAGTGGCCAGTGCTCGACCACAATTTGCAGGAGAGAACTTAGTACCCACACCCTGACTCTTTTGCTAAGCCTGGCCACGGTGAGATTGCGTTGATATTTTGTTAATTGAAGTGATGCACTCAATTTATAAATAACAAGATGCATTTCCTGGTCTCCCACTCTGCAGGCTAAATCTGGGACCTGCTAACGCAAGGAAGGTATTTTTTTTATCTCATGCATCATCAGGAGAACATTCCTCCCTCAGAATTTAGTTAATATATCTGTTGATGATTCATTGAATTTAATCCAGAGTGGGCCATTACATTACACAGCGTGACTTCCTGGATTTCTCAGGCCCTCATTTCACACAGCTCTCTGTGTCTTGAGCTCAGTAACTAGAATTTGGCTATAATGTATCTTCCACAAAAGCATATAGAGTTCCTCAGGGATTATCAAGAAATGAAAATTTCATCACTTTGCTAACAATTTTTTTTTCTTGGCTAATCCTCTATACCATTAAAAGATTAAACCTTGTCTCTTGTCTGAATACCTCTAGCATAAGCTTCCATCATCTAAATCTTCCTCTGCTAGCTTATTAAACTCTTTTGTAATGAGGTTTTTTTTTCATTGTGGAAGTACTTTTACTCTGCTTCAAGCCAACACTTGATCTTTTTTTTGATAAACTAAACAGATTGAGCCCTTTGAAGTTCCTTCAGTTTGGCAGATTCTCCAGCCTTTGCATCATTTTAATGTCTGCTTCCTACACTCTTTACAACACATTTTTACAGACACACATCACTAGGTAATAAAGTGTGATCTGACTAGCAGTGAGTGGGTAAAAAAACCCTTTCTCATCTTTTTACTCCTCCACTCTTTAGGCAATGTGATGTTGCATTGTGCTGCAGCAAAACTTATAGGAGATAATATTGGACAGTTTTGTACTCTTGCCCTTAGAATCATAGAATCATCAAGGTTGGGAAAGACCTCAAAGATCATCTAGTCCAGCTGTCCACTAGTATTGCCCACTACACCATGTCCCTTATTACTACATCTATCCTTTCCTTAAACACCTCCAGGGATGGTGATTGCACCCTGGACAGACAGTTTCAATGCATCAGCACTCTTTCAGAGCATAAATGTTCCCTAATATCCAACCTGAACTACCTCTGGTTCAACCTGAGGCCATCACTTCTTTGCCCTTTACTATTTACCTGGAAGAAAAGGCTGACTCCCATCTCACTACAACCTTCTTTCAGGCAGTTGTAGGGAGTGATGAGGTCTCTCTCCTGAGCCTCCTCTTCTCCACACTGAAAAAATGACAATTTCCTCAGCTGCTCCTCATAACACTTGTGCTCCAGAGCCCTCACAGCTGCGTTGCCCTTCTCTGGACATGTTCCAGGGCCTCAATGTCTTGTCTTTCTCAGCCAAGTGTCAACAGACACCCTCAGATCCTTTTTCTCTGCACGGTCTTCCAACCACTCTGCCCCAAGCCTGTAGCATTGCCTGGGGTTGTTGTGGCCAAAGTGCAGGACCTGGCACTTGGTCTTGTGGAACTTCATCCCATTAGCCTGAGGCCAGCTATTCTGCCTATCCTCTGTAGGGCCTTCCTGTCCTCAGGCAGATCCAAGCTTGGTATCGTTTGCAAACTTACTGAGGGCACACTCAATTCCCTCATCCAAATCATCTATAAAAATACGGAACAGAACAGTCCCCAATACTGACCCCAGGACAGCACCACTTGTGACCAGCTGCCAGTTGGGTGTAACTCCATTCATCACCATGCTCTGGGCCCAGCCCTCCAGCCAGTTCTTTACTCAGCAAAGAGTGTACCTGTCCCAGTCATGGGTTGCAGCTTCTCCAGGATAATACTGTGGGAGACATTGTCAAAGGCTTTGCACGAGTCTAGGTAGACAACATCAACAGTCTTTGGCCTTTGACACTGTCTCCCACA